ATGACATCACTGCCATGATATTCTAGGACTGCTGCCTCTGACTCATACTTGATGGGTTTTTTTGACACTGATCAGCTACTCTTATTCCTTTTTTTAAAAAAATGGAAACTTAATCATTGTATTCAGCATTAGTGACATCCAGGCAGGCATTTGTAATGCCAGGGAAAAGGATTCCAAAGCTGAGTTTTTCTAGTGAAAAGAATTATGGTCTGTGTTGTGGTAGAGTTTGGGCTCTTCACAAGAATCTGCTAGTTTGTTTCACAAGGGTAGATCAGGACCAGCTGTCCACCTAAAAAGGTCTCTAGGAGACATCCTGGGGGGTGATGGAGGGGTGTTATGATTGTGGTTTCTACTTAACTATCTGTCTTAAGGTGCATTCAAACCTAGACTATCTAAAGCAGCTTTTTTTTTGGTACCAGGGATCTAACTGAGGGCCTTGCGCTTGCGAAGCAGGCAGCAGAACCACTGAGCTAAATCCCCGGCTCTAAAGCAGCTTTTAAATTACAACTTTTTTCTCTTTTAGAAAGTAATAACATCATTACATAAAATTGAAAAATACAAAAAGAAATCACACGTGAAAGTATCTTCTAATTCCACCATCGAAAGAACCATAAATTAGATGTTTTAAATCTTCTCTGATAGTATTTCACATTTAATTATGTTCATTTTCATGTCATCTTTATGATACTTACCTTGGAGTTCTCTATTCCTTCTTTATTTAGTGATTGAGAGTTCCATTTAAAAATAACTTGGCTATGTCTAAATACAGTTGCCCAGAGTAGGTCTTTGTTAACTCGGTCTACTCTGGCTTGGTTAAGAAGAGGTTGTCTATTTAGGGTCTTAGTATAAAGCTTTTCAGAATGTGTTCTCCTTTGAATGTAACTGCTATTGTGTCACCGTATTATGTCATGTGTATGTGTGTGGCTGAGCTCATTTTACATGCTGCACTGTGCATCACATTTATAAATGCAATGAAATGGAAAGGTTGGGGCTGAAGTGTGGAAGAGCTCATCTCACTACAGGGGCTAGCTACGTACTTAAATGTTGTTTCCTAGACTCCATGGTAGCCCCTTGGGGGTAGAAGCAACATCTTTCTTTCATTTTTCTTTCGCACTTAGGAGAGCTTAGCATAAACAGTATGTGCTTAATAAAGCAGGTTTAAATGAGATTTGGGTTGATTTCCTGTGGCTGGTGGAGAGTATCAGAGGTCATTTACTCTAGGGTGCTCACCTTATTCAGGTATTCTTACATTGGAACAGTGGCCAGTAAATTTTTAGCCAAGTTCTTTTGGGATTCTATGGCTAATTTGGGAGAATCTACTAAAACCATCTCCACAGGGAGTGTTTATTAAATAATATCAGCATCATGCATTGGGGCAGAATTTAAAATTTGTTCAACTCCCCCGAAAAAGAGGTAATAATACTCAGATGGTAATTAAAGGATGTAGATTACACATATAATTACAAAGATAGTAATATTTCATAAAATGTGCATGCTAAGGAATAGATTCATATACATACTAACTATGCCACTGTCCAAAATCTAGACTTAAAAATTCATGGTGATCTTAAGTTGACATAGAGACCCTTGAAAAAATTTCATATTTTCAGAGGTAAAGAATTGTGACATTTTCCAGGGTGCATTTATTTAATGGGAGGAAATTATTTTATAATGAGAATTCCAAAATACAGAACAAAATTCCCTATTTAGAAACAACCTTACTTTACTGATGAGTGATATAAAAGATTAAGTTTAAAAGATAACTTGCTTAGCAAGTGGATGAATGAATGGGTCACTGTGTTGTGCAGGAGATCCCGTATGCTGCTTTTTGAGGCAAACTAAGCCCTAATCCTGCCTGGTGTAATAATTATGTAGGGCAGGAAATAACTATATAGTACTGAAGTAAAAAATTCTGTCAGGATGACAGGAAAGCAGTGTTTGACAGGAAAGGAACCAGCCTGCACAGATGGCTGTGGGAGGTAGCATTTTCAGATGATAACCCAACAGATTGGAGGGTGATGAGAAGCAATTTGTAGTCCTGAGTCTCGGTGAGGACTTGGGATTCCAGTCTGGTCTCATTTCCTCCTTTTCTTTTTATTTGACATGTGAGTGTAACTTCTTTGGACTTCAGTTTTCTTTGTGTGAAGGAAGGTTTAGAATTTCTCATTTGGGTATCAGTGCTGTGTATGATTTTGTTGTTAATGGCTGTGGGATTGAGTTTTTAGAACTTGTAATGATGTAATTTTAAACATACAAGTTCACATACGCCTTTTATTCCTACTCAAGTTTTGTATACACCAAAATGTAGAGAAGACAAAATTTCTTTTTGGTACCCGGGATTGAACTCATAACCTTGTGCTTGCGAGGCAGGCACAGTGCCACTGAGCTAAATCCCCAGCCTGAGAAGATAAATCTCAAACCAATACTATACATTAAAAAAAAGTTTAGCTGTATTACTTTTGAGCACACAATATCATTAATAAAATGCTCATTGTTGTTATTTATTAACATCTTATGTATTGTATATTTTCTAAACTTTTAAAATATAAATAACTATGCATGTGGTATGCCACATTAAATATATTTTATTTATTAAGTTTTGCAATGCTGGAGATCAAACCCCCAGGGCTGCGGACATGGTATGCAAGTGTTCTACCACTAAGCTACATTCACAGCTGTAACATATTTTAAGTGTTGATCCAAAAAAATACAGTTGAGATTAATCACTTTCTACAACATATAAAAAAGCCTTTTGTGTTAATAATACGGCAGGTAGAACGTTATTTTAATTAATTTTTGTTGGTTTTTGCATTGCAAATGTGACAATCATGTTGGCTTCTTAGAGAATTATTACAGTGTGTCAAGAAGTGGATCAATAAATATGGAACCAAAAAAAAGGAAAAAGAAAAAGGAATGTGCTCTGTCATTTTACACCTTTTAGGAAACAAATGTGTAAGGTTGGTTTGTTTAATGGAATAATTAAAATTTATTTGGAAATGGAGTAGAAATAAGGAATTGTGTCGAATAACCTATCCTGTCTTCCTTAGCAAGTAGTTTACCTCAATCAGTATTTTTCTTCTGCAGTCATCACTGTACATAAAGTGTAATTTAGCAAGGGCTAAATGATTCCTCTCACATCACTTTTTCTTCTCTTTAAAACTTTGATGCTTTCTATTAAAAATGAAAGCTATATCTCTAATGTAATATCATGTACTTAGTGATGCCATTGAAATCTGAAACTTTAATAAGTAATAAAATAAATTAAGAAAGAAGGAAGAGGAAGAACTTCAGATATAGACTCAGAAGACCATGTATGCTTAGGTCAGACTAGCAGTTTCGTTTGAGATTGCAGGGTTTTCTGTAGGACCTCCAGAAAGTATGTTAACAGCCACGTTCAGGCTAGAGTTTTGGTAAAGTAACACATTTTAATTGTATTTTGGATGTTAAAATTGGGTTATCTGGGCCGGGGATTTAGCTCAGTGGTTTCGCCACCTACTGCACAAGTGCAAGGACTCAAGTTCGATCCCCTGTACCAAAAAAAAAAAAAAAAAAATTGGGTTAGCTACCACTAAAATCTTAACTTGTTAGCTTAACATCCTATGATTTGCTTTTGCATTCAGAAGTGAATGACCAACTTCATTGCTGAAATTTTATTTCCAAGCATGAATAAAATGGGAAGTTCTTTGTGAATGTCACATTCTAGTGTGAGCAAACTAAGTTTTGGATATTCATAATAACTGAGGCAAGGGACTTATTGAAGCAGTTTTCGAAGCTTTATTTGGTTCACTAGCGTAGTTACCTGAAAGAATTCTTGTTCTCCTGGCCCCTCCCTCCCCCACTGTCCCCCTTCTTCCCTGCCCCTGTCCCTCACCTCCACCCATGCCCTTACCCCAGGGCCTGGCACATATTAGGCAAATGCTTTGTCAGTAGACTACATCCCCAGCCTCTCCTGTCACAGTTTTTGAACAACAACAACAACAACAACCACAGGCTGCCTAGCTGGAGGGTTTTAGACAAATGTGTCAATTTAGTTTTCAACTCCTATCCTGCACCTTTAGGACTTTTGAAAGCTGTTACTATTAATCATATTTGCTTCACATTTTTTAATTAGTTCAATTCAAAAGCTGTAGTTGATTTTATGGCACGTTCCTGTCTTTGACCCTATAAAATTGTAGTTTGCAACTTTTGAAATACACTTTTTTTTCAGCCTTGGAGTTGACCTGTGTTTCCCATCTAAAGCAGTAAAATTCATATTGAAACAGTGTTTTCTTGTCTCAATGAACCGTGTTGCATTGTCAATACTTTACTCCTTGCAAGAGATTATAAATGTCCAGAAAGGCAAACAAAGGCTTAGGTTGTGAGGTCTGTAGAATTTATCCTAATGTTGAAACATTTTATTCCTTTGCCATGTTGCCATATTCCCTCTAAGTTTCATTCATACCAGGCTTTAGGTAAGAGATGAGACATTTGCATACTGTTAAGGCTTCAGGATCTCGTATCACAGGGTAAAATCAAAGTACTAATGTTTGGTCTTGCCTAGGCTTAAACTCCAAAGCAGAGATCCTGAGAGCAATAATCAGAAGGTACTGTGAAAATCAAGTCATATGATTGGAAGTGTAGGTATTAGCTCAGTTTCATCCTCACTTGTTGTCAGCAGATGCGTTCTGCTTGCACAGTGCCTCAGATCAGGTCCGCAAACCTATGGAGTAGGATCCTGGATTGTTACTTAATCTCATGTACAGTCTGATTTGTTAAATGCTATGAGTGGGGTTGAATTTCATTCTCTCTGGGTATCTGGGCCTGAAAAGATGACAAAATCACATGGGCCTCACAGTCTGTGGAAATAGCTTTGTGATTATTGGTTTGTTGGTGGTGGTTTTGACCTACAAACCTTGCATAGATTTGAGGAAAGGCAGAGAACAGTGTCCATTTTTTAAAAGTGTGTGCCTATGCTAAGAAAGTAATCTATCACTTTGTAAAGGTTTCTGTTTTATTTGTAGATATAATACTTTGCCAAGTAGAAGAACCCTGAAAAATTCCAGATTAGTGAGTAAGAAGGATGATGTTCACGTCTGCATCATGTGTTTACGTGCCATCATGAATTATCAGGTGTGTGTGTACTTCTAGCTCTTCCAAAAAAATCTGAATTAACCCAAGGAACTTTCCAGAGAGGACGAACAGGTGATAGTCAAATAAATTGGTAAAATACATAGTGTTCCAGATAATGATGAGGAAACAGAAAGAAAGCTAACTACATGGTACTTCTTAGAGGTTTAGTGCTTTTAAAACTATGAACTCATAAAAACCTCACATCATCCCAGTGAGATTGCTATTATTAGGCAAGTACCAGGGTCCTGAGGTAAGAATAAATCTGGTTTGCACAAGGAGCATAAAGAGGCCAGGTTGGATTAGAATGAGCAGAAGAAGATGAAGCAGAAGTAACAAGGAGGCCTGATTGTGTAGGAACTCGTAGGCCAGTAAACGGAGATTGCCTTTGTTGTAAGTGAGAAGGTAATCATGGTTCAAGGACGTGAGGTGACACTTGTATTTAATGTGAGCTCTGGCTTCTGGATTTAGGGTTGACTGTGGAGTGCAGCGATGAGAGGGGTAGATCATTTAGGAGGCTGTTTGTAGTCATTTAGGTGAGCTTTGATAGTGGTATGAACCGGGGTTATGGGAGTGGAGATGAAGAGAGATGGTCGCATTCTGCTTTTCTTTTGATGGCAGTGGCAACAACATCAGGTATGTCATGAGGGAGGAGGTGAGGAGTGAAGGATGGCATCAAGTTTTTCATCATGGGCAGTTGGGAGATGGAGTTGACATTTACTAAGATGGGGCAGACTGCAGGCTCAGTAGATGTGAGATTGTTAGGAGTTCTCTTGGGGATTTTAACTTTGAGATATTGTTCACCATCCAGATAATCGACTTCAGTGGGTAGCTGGAGGTGCAAAAGTAGATTTCAAGGCAGAGGTCTGGGCTGGAGTTAATAAATTTGACAGTCATTATTAACATTAGGTGGTACAGGAAGGAAGTAGGGTGAATGAGATCAACAAGAGTAGACACTATAGTAAAGAGATTGAAATGTTGAACCCTAGGACACTTTGTATAAATGTTGGAGAGATGAGGAAAGCCTTTCTAGAGAACCTGAGAAAGTGGCCAGGGAGGCAGGAGCCAGGAAAAGGACATGTTTCTAGATGGGAATACTCAACTGCTTCAGACGCTGCTGTTGAGTCCCGTAAGACAAGGAGTGAAGGTTGGGTGTTGACTTTATCAAGGTGCAGATCATTGGTGATCTTGGTCAAGATGGTTTCATTGGAATGGCGGGAATGAAATGTGGACGGCTTCAGGAGGAAAGGCTTCGGAGACCCTGGAGGCATTTTGCTGGGAATGATAGCAGAGAAAAGTGAGAGACAATATCTGGACACTGACTGTAGTCTTAAGAGAAGGTTTTGATGTTGTTATTGGAGATAAGGACATTTGTGACCTGTTTTTATGCTAATGCTGATGAATCAGATAAGGAAAAGTGATGAGGGATAGAGGAATTTCTGGAGTATATATTGTTATTGAGTAGCTGAGGGGATGAAATAAAGGACTCAAGTTAGAGGTGTTTGCATTAGATTGGAGCCTGGGAGAGTTTCTCTTTGGGAAGAGATGAGGAGGTAAGCTGCAGATCTGTCTGCGTGGGGAGAGTTTTGGCAAGCTTTTTCTGACTGCATATATTTTTTCAGTGTAAGGAAATAAATTGATAAGCTGGAAGTGAGTTTGCAGGAGACAGTCATTCCTTAGCTCAGCAGAACCAGGATGCGGAAGGCTGTTGTTCGCTTTCTACATCGTATAGAAGGGTGAGGTAACATGCCTCTGAGCAAGGAAGATTTTTCCTAGGCCCTTTGGCCCTGATAGCCATTTCCCAGAGAAGGCACAAGGTACGGTGGTTGTCAATCCTTGCTATATGGTAGAGTGACTCTGGAATCTTATAAAACATCAGGATTTTGGGGCTCTGTCATTGAGATGCAGAGTAAATTAACCTGGGATAGATCTTGGAGAGTCAATCTGTGCTTTGTTTAGTCTTTAAATTATTTAATGAGCAGGTAGAGTTGAATTACGAAAGTGAGGGCATTTTCACTGTTTTACTAAAGAAAAATAGGTGGCTCATTCTTAAATAATGGGAAGGTGATCCTTTGCTAATGGCATCATTCCTGGGATTTTTGATAGAGAACTATGTCCTGATGGTGGTGTGCTAGAAACATATCTATCTGCATTTGTGACAGTTAAGTTACTTAGGTAGAAACTTGAGTTTTGGGTTTTTAGTATGCATCAGCATGCTCCTAACTTGTCTCCTAACTTGCCTCTTCTTTTTTCCTCCCTGCTATATTTCAGTATGGTTTCAACATGGTCATGTCTCATCCACATGCCGTCAATGAGATTGCACTAAGCTTGAACAACAAGAATCCCAGGTAAGCTTCCTTTGTGATGTCAGAGTCTACATCTAATTAGGGGAAGCAGAGAGTCAACAGCGTTTAACCAAGTTAGAAGTGACCCAGTATGCCTTTCTGAAATAAGACTGGCTGGAATCTGCTCAGCTGTGTAGCAGTTTTCCTTCTAGCCAGGTTACAGTCTTACTTGGTACAGACTTGAATACCTGGCAAGAACACTATCCCTTCACTCTTCCTTTTAAGTTTTTGTTCCTTTTGAGGCCTAGTTCTCAGCATCTTCACTGCTAAATTTGATGTCTGGGAGGATTAAGTTCTAAGCTCGCCTGGACTTGGGGACTAGGAGAGCCTTGATAAAGATTTAGCTACACCACTTAATACTGAGAGCTAATTAAAACCAATATCCCTTATCTACACTTTACTTGCTACCTTTATATGTAGCTTTAGTTACCAATCAGGAAAAGACACACAGGTAAATGTGCATGCAGATTTTCATTTGTATTTGTGTTCTGTAAAGGCCAGCACCACATATTACTTCACAGATTACCTCAAGAAGCCTTGTCATCTTTTTTTTTTCTTTTAAAGTTATTCTAATGTTTCAGTAGTCACCATTTTGGTGAGCTATTCTGCATGTTAAATGTGTAATTCCCTTTTATCAGAGACATTTCTAGAAACTGAATATCTGAAAACTTAATTCAGCTAAAAAATCTGATTATTAAATTGGGCATGATGACACATATGTATAATCCTGGCTGGTTGGATAGGTTGGGCAGGAGAATCACAAGGTTGAGGTCAGCCTGGGCAACTTAATGAGATTGTCTCAAAATAAAAAATAAAGGCTGGGAATGTCGCTTGAGCATTTGCTTACCATGCATGAGGCCCTGGGTTCGAGCCCCAGTACTGAAGGAAAAAAGAAAATCTGATTGTTGAATTAGGCCTTTCTGATTTGGAATGTAATATAAAGTCCTATTCATCTATTGAGTATTGTTCTTTCAAATTTGCCCTGATTAAACCTTTTGAACTTTGTGATTGTTTTCTTACTTTACTAAAACCCTAAGTAGTCATGCTCCCTTGCCTCTGTCTCCCACTACAGGGAAGTCATTATTCATTTTTCTTAAGACAATTGACATTGTGGAGTATCAATACTGTCTTTGTTAAGAAGTTGGCAATAGTTTTATTCCAGAATAAAGATGAAATAATAAAGTGGTCTTATGATGGAGAAACAATGCTATTTCTTTTTTGACATTGTTTTTGCAAACTTAGGATGCGTCTCTAAGCTCTCCTTCCAAAAATATTTCAGATGGAGTTTTATTTTCTTGAGTCTGAGAAAATATTCTTATATTAGTACAGCTTTGTACTGGTACAGCTGGAACCTGACTCCTTCCAGATCTGCCACATAGGAAGAAGTAGTTAGCAACTTGTATTCTGTGAGATTTTTATGGCTCCATGTCCAAGTAAGTTGATTGACGATGTAAAACATTAATTTCATACTATACCTCTGACTCTTAAAACCAGAAAAAATGTTTAAACAGGTAATTTTTCTGTATGTCCCTAACTTTCCTGTTGTATTTTGCTTATTTGTAAAAAATTTTTTAACTGCTTTGTACTTCACAGATTACCTCAGGAAGTTTTGATGTCACCTGATGTTTGGACTCAGAGACTATTCTTTCTAGAATTAGTTTTTGTTCATGAGTAATTTGTAATTTTGGGAGTGGGAAGCATGCCTTCCACCCTGTTTTACACAAATCTCGTATTTAGAAGCCAGTAAATGCTTGAAAATTTGCTTTAATATAACTGTACTTTAGTTGGTAAAGCTTTAAAAAATTACCTGGGCAAATGATTCTGTTACTCCCATCTTGGAAGGCAGGAGTTGCTGACTTGGGTTTTTCACTGATTTGGGTTTTTCTTTTTTCTTCTTGTTTTGACAGAACAAAAGCCCTTGTCTTGGAGCTTTTGGCAGCCGTTTGCCTTGTCAGAGGCGGGCATGAAATCATTTTATCAGCTTTTGATAACTTCAAGGAGGTAGGATGCATTGTAGTTTTAATAAGAATGCTCTTGGAAACATCTCATATTTGGACATTGTTGAAAAAAATGGATTTACCTCTCATTCCAGAGCCAAGAGATATAATAGCCAATTTTCTAATATTTCACCAGAAGGAAAGTAATGAACTTAGACTATATATCATAAATGGATGAATTAAGATTTCTTTGGGTGTCTCATATTCCATTTTAAGTTAAAAAGATTTCCAGTACTCATTTTCCTTTAAAGAATATGGACAGCCAGGTTGAAAACCGATTGTCTTACATGCATACGGTTTACATATTGTATAAATAGTACAACCTAAGTTTTAAGAACTCATTCATCATAGTTACTTCCCTCAAATCATATTTATTATCATTGCTTTGCTGGATGCTATGGGAAAAAATGTCAAATAAATATAGACACCTATTTTAGGAGTTTATAACCTTAACTAAGTGGTCTTGACACAGAAAACTAATAAAGCAGTGGACATGCATGGTTGAAAATGGAGACTGACTGAATACAAAAGAAGAAGCCATTGCATATATGTGTGTAGCACCAAGGGTTCTGCCCCAAAGTATCAGGATATCTTGACTGAGACATTAGCCAATTTCTTCTAGGGGTAGTGCACAGTATTACATGACAAGAAGAGGGGTTCTCTGTTCCTCCAGTATATGCCTCACATCCGAGACTACACTGAGGGGGGAGATTGTAGAAGTAGTCTCTGGAGGCACTTGGAGTCCTGGTTACAATTGGAGCCTCAGCCAAGATGTGTTTTACCTTGGCAGTTCCATTTGATCCCGTATATTTCTAGATTAAGACTCAAATTGGATTAAAATCTGGATCTCAAAAAGACTTCAAGCTCTATGTCATCTTTGTTGAAATCCTGGGGGAAAGCTCAGGACTTGTTGAACATCCACCAAACCTCAGGGCTTGACATCTTTGAGACAGCTATAAATATTTTCATTTTATAGAAGAATACACTAAAGTTCAAATACATAGTTACCTGCAGTCACATTGGTGGATAATGGTACAGCTAGGATCAGGATTTGTGGTTCCATGAAACTTTGCTGAAGTTTGGGCCCAGATGTGTGAATCTCCTGAGGGCAATAATGGAAGTGCTGAATTAAGATAGGACTTCCCGTGTGCTCTTCCCTACCACTACCTCCTTAACAGGCAGAGGTGCTTCAGCTGCCATCTGTACTAGGCAGTGGTGCCGTGGTCCTGTGCATATAGGCTGGTGAGCTTCAAATACCCGAATACTGCAAACATTCCTCCTGCCCCTTTGTTTGCTTTGCCTCCCTCTCCCAGTTAGGGCTTGGAGATTTTGACATTATCCATTGTGTTACTGCCAACTATGGAGAGAATCAAATGTTGTCTTTTTAAAAAAAATCTATTGAGCTCTAGTGATAGTGAGAAAATATTCAGATTCTAAGACAATGATGAATAGTAGTGAATCTTTATATTCATATTCTGGCTTCCAGAACAAATACGCTTTAGAGAAAAGGCTGTATGAATGCTTGTCTGTGAATACTTTCATCAATCATGTATAAATGTATGAGTTTTAAATTTATAAATAGGAAGTATGTTTGAGTGGATAGGTTTAAGATGATAGGTAAATAGCATATGCTGCTAATATAATTCCCAAAAATTTATCATTAGATCATATTTGAGAATATCACATCAGGTCCTTTCTATATGGGAAGCATTTACTCTACAGTTGTCACTGACCTTTGATATAACTCAGAACAACTATCTGATTATACTGCAGGTCAGATTATGTCCTAAAGAGGTCATTGTATAGAATCGGAAATAAAGCCAGTACTTCATGAGATGTGTTAGCTTTCTCCTAGGTTAGATAGAATACTTTTCTTATGCCTGGTAGGCACAGAAATACTTGCAGAATTGAAACAACAACAATAAAAAACCCCAGACTAATAAAAAAACCAAATACTTGCAAAATTGATTTTTAACTTTCTTATGTTAGAATTGTATATGGTTTAGACCTTTAGGGCATCATATATGCTTAGTTGAAGAAAAAAGAAGACCTACTATATCTTATATCTGGCTAGTAGTAATGAAAACTAAATTGACTTGACTTCAAGTTTTGAGAGCTATAGCACCAACCTGCTTAATTACTGTAATTGCTTGTGAATATTGGCCGGTGTTTAGTATCTGTTTATGCTTGGCATAGGTGCTTACTTCTGAGGAAATGAAGGCATATGGGAGAAGGGTCAGGGACAGAGCTAGGTGGTCTTCGTTGGCATTTACCTCAAGCTGTGGTATCTGTGTAGGCAGCCCAAGCCGAAAGATTATCCTAATTACTGTGTGAACAAGGACCATACAGGAACATGCTCCTGAGAAACTTTATTCTTATGAAAAGGTCAGAGGAGTGTCAACCTCTTTATCTAGTCTTGGGGTTGAAAAATATTACTTTGTGTTGATCTTGGTTTTTTAAAAAAGTAATGTTGCTCATAGTTTAAAATCTTTTAAATCCTTTTCTTTCTCTTTTCCTCCCTTTATGAGTGCTGATTTTTTTTCTTATATATCATAGTGAAGGATGGGCTCTTTAATTTTTTAAGTAAAATGTCATTGAAATCTTCTGACTTTTGGGAGGCTTGAAACCAGCTTTGTGGGAAGCATTATCTCTGTGTTCTGTAATACCTGTGCAGATAGGGTTTTTGAGCCACCCATGGCAGGAGTACCAGACCAGGATACCAGGGAACAGGCCTAAAGGAGGATTTGCCTTCAAGAATGTTTTTAAAGCTCTTTGTCTTTTTTTTTTTTTTTTGTACCAGGGATCGAACTCGGGACCTTGCACTTGTCACATCTACTTTTCACAAAATGATATATTTAGAGTAGCCAGATCATTTGTCCTTTAATCATTGTTGGAGCCTAGCTGAGCAGACTGTTGGAATATGGCACCAGATAGAAAAAAATACTTTTTTGGAAGTAAAGGTCACTCTTTTGGTATTATTAGTTCGGGATCATATTTGTAACATGCAGAAATTTACTCTAACATACAGAGGAAAGGGTAAATTGGACGGCTATGGAGAAGTCACAAATTTGACAAGGAACCTGGAGAAGGAAGCTGGGGGAACAGCAGGCGTTCTTAAAATAGGGCCAGAGTCTGGCTTTGTCCATGAAGCTGAGCTGCTGTCAACACTGTTAGGGTTCTGGTCATGCTTTTTCTTCTTTCCTGAACAACATGAACTATGACTAGCAATCTGTCATAAAACCACACCTACTTGTGTAGGACTTCTGCCCTACTGGAGATTTATAAGCATTGCATTTAATCCAAATTCCTATTGGATCTTTAACTTAGACCTTGTTCTGCTCAAGTCTTCCTATTTTTTCTTAGTCTTCCTACTTTTTTCTCCATCATGTTCTTGGATATATTTAAGAAATTGCCTTACCTTAAAAAAAAAGTCTTTAAAATCCTGGCAAAGAACGTCCCCTTTAAAATCCGAGGAAAAGTGTGCTTTCCCCATAGACTCTGCAATGGAACAACCTGCTATGACAGGAGTGATGGACCCCTCTAAGGGCTTGGAGCCATCTGCTCTCCTGGGTATGGGGCTGTACCTGGAATTTGTCCGGTTTCCTGTTGATTATAACTGTGTTCTTGTATGCTTCCGTAATGACAGCATCTGACTTGAGCAAAATAGCCTGAGGCTAGCTTTTTTTTTTTTTTTTTTTGGTACCAGGGATCAGACTCAGGACCTTGCTCTTATGAGGCAGGCCATGGAACCACTGAGCTAAATCCCCAACCCTTGAGGGTGGCTTTGAAAGGTTTCATTCCTTCCCACTTCTGACCTTCCAGTTTAGATACATGGAGCCTTGGGACTGAGTCTCTGGAGGCCACCAGCCCTCTTGTACATGACACTCTTGGCGGTAGCTGTTCTTTTTTAGGCCTGTGGCTGGAAGCTTTTCTAAGAAAGTTGATGTAGTTTAGCTACTGGGCATCTGAAAGTACTTGTGCTTCACATTATAAGTAAATTTAAGAAAATCTGTCAAGTTTTCTTTGTAGCAGCTCAAACTAGACTAGAAGAAGAGCAGACATTTTGGTGTGCCCCTGGCACCTTTCCAGGTTTGTCTCATCTAATCTAACCATTCAGGCCCTTGAGGGCATGAGATTACAGGTCCAGCACGAGGCCGTCCAGGTAACTGTCAGTAGTAAAGTTTTCTACATGGAAAGAAGGGCCTTTGCTTTTTTGGTCTCTCCAGTCTCCAACTGTGGGAGACCGGAATCCTAAACTATGGGAGCCACAGTCCTAGCTAGAGCACGCTTGGTGCTTGCTGTATTAGGCCACGGTCAGTTTAATGTAATTGACCAAGACTGCTCTGGTTGGTCTGTCTTCCTAAGATCAGAAAGCAAAGCCATAGTCCTGTGTGGCGTTAATACTGTTAAATATTTGTGTGTCTGCGTTAACCTACAGATACTGCTTGTGGAAATAATGGTCATTAAACCTAGTTTTACTGAACTCATGGATTCTGTAGGTCAGAAAGTCATGCAGGGATTGTCTCTGCTCCACTGTGTGTGGTGCTTCTTGGAAGATAATGATGTATTGTGGGCAAGTGTTTGTCTGGATGCTTCTCTCCTCAGGTATTCACTCCTGACTGTGATCCCTCAAAGGCGGCACTCAGCTGGTTCTAACAACCAGAGGGCCACCGTGTAGAAGCATGTGTGGCTTGGGCTTCTCACAGCATGATGTTAGACTTCCGAGAGAGTGTCTCAGGAAGGAACATTGGAGAACAAGCCCTCAGAGAGACAGAGGTCACAACATGTCCTCGGAGCTAGTCTTAGGAATCTTGCAGTGACACTTTTGTACATTCTATCGATGACCAATGAGGCCTTAAGGCCACACTAGCTGCAAGGGGAAGGCAGTAGCTTCATTTCTGGATCATTGAAGTGTTGGGGTCACAGTGCAGAACAACATGTGGAATGGGAGAGACAGTTGTGGGCATCTTTGGAAAAGACAGTTCACTACGGTAACCTGATGAG